TTCAGTAAACACTCCTGTGTGATGAGCTATCAGCTGGCCCACCAGGAGACTAAGACTAAGGGACTGAAATCACTATCCACATTTAAGATTCTCGAGTTTTCTCTCAGCTGTTTCATTGTAACTTTCTCACTCTCGTGTGCTTCCTGTCAGATTCTTTTATATCCTGTAAACTTTTATTTAAAAGGTCACTGTCTAGTTGTTGGATTTTTGAAGCTCCTTTCTGTTTATGCAGTATAAAAACATTGCTTTACTTAGCATTTTAGAAGGCTACATCTTCAAGGAGAACTCTACAAACATCCACTTTAAAGAACCAGGTGGTCTCCATGTGTAGGCAAGTTATTTTTAATGGGAGAGCAAAGTCAGATGTGCAGAACCTGTGAATATCAGTGATGAAAGTAGTGAGTTACAGAGTAAATGTGGGCTCTTTGAGACTGCAGATAAGAGGCAAAGCAGTGAACCTGCTGGAGGAGGAGGGGGGTGGGGGTATGGTAAATGTCAAAGTAAAGTGAACATCTGCTGCCAGGGAGCTACTGGACCCAGCAGCTCCCAATGAGACGACAACCACCTGCTTCCAGTTGTTGTGCTGTGAAATCCGAAAATGTTGGAGCACAAGAACTGATGGTATCACGAGAACTGTGGTTCAGTGGGTAGAGCAGTCACTGAAAACTGTGGTTCAGTGGGTAGAGCTGTCAACTCCAACCAGAGGGTCAGAGGTTTGAATCTCGATGCCTGCAGATAACATGTTGAAGTGTCGCCGATGGTTCTAACTGGTGGGCATCATGGAGGGGACCCACAGCAGTCTATAGCTGCAGAACTTCTGCATTTACGTTTTAGAAAAAGCAACACATTATCAGCTAATGTAGTTAAAGTATTCAATTTGTGGGTGTAACTTTGTTATATATTACATTTCATCACTGGTTTGTTACTACTGATGCATCCTTATGTAAGCAGCATTTCACTGTGCCAGCAGTTGTAGGTGGAACTAGTTTTAACAGCTTTATATATTAAAGATTCTTCCAAAGGGTTAGAAGGACAGAAATCTGAGGGGTTGTGAGATGATTACATTGTTTAAAAACTTTCTGTCTTTGCTTTATTGTGAACATTGGAAAACGACTCATTTGGGCTTCATACAGTTATTTAAGTAAAACTCTGTGAGACATTTAAACTAATTTCTAACTATTGTCATTTGAAAAGTGACAAGATGAACAGATTAGAAACCAGTGGTTTAATATTAAATAACACATAGCATATTATATTTTTGAGCAGAAAATCGTAATCTGAAAAGTACCCAGTAAATATGGCTGTCAAATGTGTTTCCCTGGGAAGTTCTGTGTAAGAAGTGGCGTCAAATTCTTGATCAAATTGTTGTTCCACCAGTGCTGGTGAATATGTGGCACGAAAAAGAAAGTGGAAGAGAATTAGTTGTGGTGAAGGTGCAAGAACAAGAACGGAACATCAGCCTGAGACGTGAGGAGCTACCTCCGACGCAGTGACACAGCTTCAGGCCCAAACATTCCCAGTACATTCCCAGTTGCTCTTCCCTCCTTAGAGCATGAAACCAACCTCCGGCTGTCACATCACACTGCAGAGCACAGAGCTGTGCGCTGAGCAACAGATGGACCTACAGCCTGTGCCCACACTGTACTGGCCTCAGGCGATGAGCAGTGATGTCACCACTGTCTCTGCAGACGATCCTTGTGGGAGACGCGACGTGGGCGAGACCTCTCTGCTGGTCCAGCACGACCAGGGCAGGTTCCTCCCATGGTCCTTCACGGCCACAGTGAGTCCACACTACCTGCCCTCCGCACACCCTCCTACCCTGAATTCATTTTGCACTCTTGCATTTCCTCCCCTTGCGTTGTGTTGTTGATTCTCACGGGTCATGGCAGGGACATGGCACTGCGATGGCCTGTTTGTGTTGGAGTCGTGACTTCTCTGTTGACTCCCTCAGTGTGTCAGTGAAGCGCACCATGAATCAGTGGTGTTCTCCACAGTGGATGTCGCATCCTCTCACTGCATTTATTACAAGGGGCTGGATGAGGATGATTAACGATGTCACTGCTATGATTAAAATACTGTGAAGAAAGCACCGATGAATGCTGCGACAGCACGCTGTTTGCTGCTGTTTGTGGAGAAGCCGTTATGCTTTGTGACATGTGGGGAGGGACTGTGTAGCAAGTGGTAAAAGGAGATAAACACTGAAGATGTATGGATCACTTCTGCTGTGACAGTGCCAACTTGGGCTTTGTGTGTCTGCAGCGCAGAGGTGGCAGAAATGGGTGCGAAAGTACAAAATTAGCTTTGCGGGTTTGCATTAGCAAAGAGTTGTGGTACAGTAGTGTGAGAAACCCTGCAGATAATACAGCATATTTATATTGTAGGCCTAGTCTTGGGTACATAAACGACACATAGGCTACCTACACCAGTAACTTTTGTTTTTTTTTGACAGGGGTGCAGAAAATCAGTCAACTTCATATATAAATAAGTGTTTTATCATTGTGTCAGTGGGTGAAACGCTGCAGCTACAGCTTTCTGTAACATCCTGTGATAAGTTCATACGTTAAGAGGTTAAATGGCACTGACATTACATAACAGAAATGATCTCTGACCGTCAGCCCAGAAGTGGAGATGCTCCGCCAATTGACTCCAACGCTGGGGGGAGACAAACGCTGCAGGAAAAGATTCGTTTTCAGACTTGGTGGGGGAATTAATTCTGTATATGACACGCCAAATAAATAAAGGGACTGAAGGATCATCTGTTCTCAACAGTAAGAGATTTGCCTGCAGTGAAGAGGGAGCATTACATTAAAAATGGCTGATGAAAAGGCTACAAAACTAACAAAGGGTTGTAACTTAATTATTTTTTCTGACATATTAAAGAAAATAAACAGGCTTGGTTCCTGGCCAGGGGTTGAGGCGTTCACTTTTACGCGCGTCTTCACTGTGGACTAATTGATCCTTCATCAAATAGCCTATTTATGACATATTAGGTCACATATATTACTACATTATGATTCCATTTGCACCATATTGCCATGATTCAGCCCTCCATGACCCTCTCAACGAGCGACCACCACCTGTGCTGAATGAGTCAGCTGTCAGCGCGATTGACCCCTGCAGCGGTTTGGGGACGATGTCAGCATGAAAGACGGACCGATGTGCCACTAATAAGAAAATGTTGTCAGAGCTGTCGACGTCCTCACATAGCTGTAAAGTTAACCACCTTCCCACGCCAGGATGCTACGCACCGCTCCGCAAAACCAGAGAGATGTTTCCGCATGTTTGGCATTAACCGCTGACCTGAGCGGTGGTGGATGCAGACGCCGAAGCACCGCCGCCGTTGATTGTTGTCCAAGTTATGCTCGTCGCTTCCGTCGTTCCGTCTTTTAAAGTGTGGCTTTTTTCCCGCTTGGGAAGCGCCTGGTGATCATTTTGTCCACACGCAGCATGCGAGCAGAGGGGCTGGAGGCTGGCGGAGACTGGGACTGAGTGGCGGAGATCTCTCACACACTGTGCGCGTCTTTCTTGGACACATTTCGGAGATAACTGTGGTTTGGCTCTCTAGCCTGTACTCTGTTCTTGGCATTGCGATGTCCACAAGAAAGGCATCGTTGACGGACAAGCAGACTAAAAACGGAACGTCAAAATATGTGTTGGAGCGCTGCGCTTCTATTAACGAGTATTATGATATTGCCTTCAAGGTCTGTATTTCCGTCTTGGCATGTGTGTTGTTTTAGCTGTTTTTTCATTGTGGTGCTGGTAGAACAGGTGCTTACATTTCCTGTTTGGCAGAAACAACCGTGTACCTAGAAACAACATTAATGCTGACTCCTCACATGTGGAGAATGTGTGGCGCTCACAGATAATCCAAGTGCTTTAACTAGCTGGTTAGTCGGGCTTTATGCCTGTTAAACAGGCCATGTTCACTGTTTGTGCACTGAGCAAGGTTGCTTTGTCCGCCCTTACTGATATGCAAGTATTAGCTGAGCGTGTACTTGTTACTCCTTACAAACCCTTCATTGAAACATTTCTAAAAGCTTTGCACATTCACGCCTGTAAATGACAAACGAAACAATTAAATTGAACATGTAATTGTATTACTATCTATATATTTACACACCATGTTTATACAGCTATGAGTCACTGTGAAACCACCAGCACTGTGTGAATAACTACGGTTTACACCACATGCTGCTGGATGGATTGTATAATTACACATCCTGTTGTTGTAATTATATTGATTAGTTTTTGGAGAAGGACGCACACTGAAAAAATGATGAGAGTAAAATTACAGAGTTGGCACCTTTTGAATCTCTGGTGTTGGCAGAGCGTCACATGTTGGTGGCAGCTCAGTCAACAGTGGATGTAGAGCACTGTGGCTGTGTTTGCCATTTAAACATTTCAGCGACCTGACATTTTAACTACAAGATATTTTGCAACAGGAACATCTTACTCAAATACCACAAGCCCCGTTGTGACATGTTCTTAGTTGCAAAATAATGTATGCAACACATCAATCAGCTTTAATTCCCTCTTCACTAGGATGGAAAGTCTTATTGCTACTGTCATGTAAAAGCTGCCAGTCATGTTTGTGTGACCTGTTGCCCCTCTCTCTGGTGGTGGGTTTGCTTCAGGTGATGATGCTGGGAGATTCAGCCGTGGGGAAGACGTGCCTCCTGGTGCGCTTTAAAGACGGAGCATTTCTGGGAGGCAACTTTATAGCCACCGTTGGAATAGACTTTAGGGTGAGTGAGATGCTGCTGAACAGTCCTGGACGCACAAAGTGACTCACGTTTTTCATTATCTCCGAATGAGCCCTTAAAGGGTTGTCATTTGTTATTTTGTCATTACTCTAATGAGGGAATATTGAAAACTGACAAAACAGCCTAATGATATTTACAAGTCAACAAGAGATCTATGTGTTAGAGTGACATCAGCCCAATTATCACCTTATTTCCACAAGGAACACTTCATCATTCTGCGATGATAACACCAAATGTACAAGTTCTCTCACCAATCAGTCAAGTTCACAGACCACTTGTGCTGCTAGGCACTGTGGACAGCTTCATAAATGTCTCGACAGATGCCTGCCCACGTCCCTGTCTCCTCCAAAGATTGGCTCCAGCTCAGCTCAGTCCTGGAGCAGTCACACTGCTGACAGATGATTTTTACTATATACCTTCCTCTGCTGGAGCGGACTTGAAAATGGGCTGTTTGGAGCGAGCGGTCTGTACCACCCCCAACCTCCCATTTCCCTTGAAACCAAGTCAAAACAATCACACTAATGGCAAGTCAAGTAGGGGTGGTCTGAAGAGGAAATAGTGTTGCATTATTCAGAGTGATGTGTTGTCCTTGGATGGCGGTGTGGATATTAGGGAGCATAATGGATGTCTGCCAGGTACAGCTGTATGGATGCTGCCTATTCAGAAGCATGGACATGTTATTTCACCCCCAAATCAAGCAAAAGCAATAGGCGCTGCAGCCAGAATTCATTCATAAGATGTGTTTAAAAGAGTGGTTTGTACTTTTTACATTCAGTGTATTCAGTGTCATGCTGTTCATTCAGAAGAGCAGCTGTTCATGTATGAAAGGGGGTAAAAACTACTTAGGAATGGAGTAATCTGAGTCAATATGCTTTGGTAGGCTGGCAGGCTGTTGTGGCAGCTTGTAACATGGCCGGTCTATTTTCGACATGTTTTCTTGTAGCAGTTACTCAGCATGCAGGCTCCTCTCACGTCATAATTGGGGAGAAAATGGAAACCCATGGCAACTAATGCAGGGGTTGAACCACTTCTATTCTGCCCAAGCAGAGGATCCAGCGGGTTGCCAGACTGCCAGTGACGGCTTTGCACACATCGTTCTGTTTACTGTGACGCTTCTGCGTTACTTCGAGCGCCTGTGTGCTTTTTGTGCATTCACAGGAACGGCAGGGGCTGTTTGTGGTGACCTGTCACTGATACGAGGTCATGAAGTGGTTTAGGAAGTGCTGCAGAAGCAGTCGCACTTCCTTCATCACAGTCTCTCTCTCTTTGGCGGTTTTTGCTGTACAAGGTTGAAATATAGTCGTGAACTGTGTGTGTGGCTGTAAATCAAGGTGATGCAAAGCTACCAAAATACCCTCTTATCCCAGTTCTTATTCTTCTGCTAGTTTTCCCCATTCAGCAGATGTAACCGTAACATCATTTAGTCTTTTTAGCTGGGGTGCCTAAACTATTTTAGGCCAATTGTTGCTCTACAGGAAATCAGAGGGCACCCCTACAGGGCTGGAGGAAATTAACGGGGGAGTCAGTTGTTCTGCTGCCAGTCGTCTTTCTCACTGTTGTGTAATTAAGTCTAATCCCAGGACCTTGTTGTTGTGTGGGTGTCACAAATTACTTTCTCTGCCAGCATTCAAAGCCACTTCTAGTTGCCTTTTTTCTTTTGCCACATGCTGAGCTTTTGTAGTCTGTTGTGATGTTCGTCATTCATCTATGTGCAGCACTCCAGTCTCTGAAGCATATGCTGAATTGTCTCTCGTGACTCTTCTTCTTTCTGTAGAATAAAGTGGTGGATGTCGACAACCTGAAAGTCAAACTCCAGGTAAGGGCACGCACCTTTACACCTGTACTACACCAAATGATATTGATATATCTTTCTGGCAGCCATTTATTAACCTGAACTAATTCAGAAGATTAGTAGTGACGCATTTTGCTGCATGTTCACTTGACTTTTATTGTTTACATTTCCATTTGCATTTGGCAGGATATGGTGTAGTACACAGGACTCTGCAGGGCTATGTGCCAGCGTGCTGCTAATCTAAAGCACATACGCTTCTGTCATCATACAGTAACTTGTTCATTCAACACTGAGTGGGATGTGCCAAAATTAGATTCCTCTGCTTCCTCCAGTAAATCCTCCACATTTCATCTCGTGCCTTGCACATGATAAAGTGGCCTATTGTGAAAATAGACTCTCCCACCATGAGTCTATTACGAAGGCAGAGAGCAGTAATATAAGGTCAAGAAAATAAGGGATTAAAATTTTTGGAATGACTGTGTGTGGGGTTTTTTTTTTTTTTGGTAAGACAACAGAAAATCATAGACATGGATTAAGGTAAATTTAAAAAACTGAGGAAAAACCCTTTCCCTGCACTGTTCAATATTTTCCCTGGAATTTAAAATAATAAAGCCAGAGAAAAAAATTACACTGTGTTAAAACATCAGAAATGTAAAGATTTGACTGGAATCTTTTTTTTTGTTGTTTCAGTTTGGTGGGTCTTTAAAATGGTGTGTTTTTGATTTAGTTGTTGGCTGAATTATCCAGGGTGTTTAGTTATTATGTGGTTTGTTGCACAGATCTGGGACACGGCCGGCCAAGAGAGATTCCGCAGTGTAACCCATGCCTACTACAGAGATGCTCAGGGTATTTGTTTTTATATTTCACTTCCTCATACTCTTGTACTGTGTAGGCGTTGGTGTGTGTGTCACATGGCGTGCAAACAATAAAGGTGTAGCTAAACTGCTTTTCTTTCCTTTTTATAGCGTTGCTTTTGCTGTATGATATCACCAACAAGCCATCATTTGACAATATCAGGGTAAGACTGTCTCAAATTACCCCCCCACCCCTCACAGTCTCTCTCGCTCGCTCTTCATTTTCACTTCCTGATCCTAAACCCTCTCGAGCTGAATGCTTCACTCTATTTGCATGCAAAGCACCGCAAGGGCCTCCAATATTTTCTCATGAACCTCTTTGGAAATGACATGATGTTATCGTTTGGCTACACATTTCCCAGTGTCGGTAATGAAAAGTGTTCAAGGATAAGAGTCGTCGCAGCATGACTGATTGGAGAATGGCAATAATACACAGCACAAGGGAAAATGAAAAATGCAGACTGTAAGTGGCGGTATTTGTTTTGTTACTGAACAATCTCTCCGTCTGTCTTTTACACTTTAAAAGGCTTGGCTGTCTGAAATACATGACTATGCCCAGAAGGATGCGGTCATCATGTTGCTCGGCAACAAGGTGAGCAAAGCTTCCTTTTTGTGTTACACAAAAAGATCAGGGGGATAAAGCACAGTTTTAACACACTCAGACGTGTATGTTTAAAAACCTGAAAATGCCTTTACTGTGTTTGTGTGTGTACTTGCTTACAAAGAGTTGTACTTGTGTGTCTTCATTTCATTGTATAAAGTAATGTTGCAGCAGTGAAAACATATTATCCATTTACAGAATGCTTGCTTATGAGAATACGCATCAATGCATTGATTTTTCTTTTTTCTTGTACCAGTCACTCACTGTTATTTGATCCATGTGACTAAGAAGGGTGGATTCGTGCTTGTTTGAAGCTTCACTTGTGTAAAACTATTTTCTCCACAACGCCGCTGGTGATGACAAAGGACATTTTCACATCTTTTTCCAACCAGCAGCCATTGCTGATATATCTAAAAGCTCCCTCTCGTGGCTCGGAGAGGACTCGCCCTTCATTGGGGGCAGAGTGTCAGAAAGCAGCAGCTCAGATCATTTGCTGGGAGCAGCATGACTGTCTGTGGGAGTGCTGCTCCTCTGCTGGAGATGGACTTTCTGACATCTCATCAGTCTGAAGGAGCTCCGGCTTGGCAGCTGGCAGCAGAGAGAGCAGCAGCAGCCAGAGAAGAGGAGGCTCTGGTTGACATGATGCTGCATCACTGCAGCTAATGGTATAATGAATGTGTGACCTTCCACCTAAGCCATGATGACATGTTTTCTCTTCCCACCGCTGTTTTACAGTCAGACATGGCTGCAGAGAGGGTGGTGAAGATGGAGGAAGGAGAGAAGCTGGCCAAGGTAAAGTGTAAAAGTATAACACTTCCATGTGGTTACATTTTCAAAAACAGGCGCTCCACTTGCTCCTCTGTTTTTCCACCTTAGGAATATGGGGTACCATTTATGGAGACCAGTGCGAAGACAGGTGTCAATGTGGAGCTGGCCTTTCTCGCTATAGCAAAGTAAGTCTTAAAGTGTCACTGTGATATTAATCATGGGGAAAAATGTAGAAGGAGTCATTTGTTGTGAATTCACAGAGAATTTGGCACCTGGCTCTGTAGTTCGAAGTGTTTCAGCATCTTTCAGCTCATTGGTTTGGTTTTGTGACCTGCAGCCTTACCGTTATGGTTCACCTTTACCACTCTCATCAGCAGAGTCTCCAGCACCAAAAGGTTCTGATGTTTGCTCCCAGTTCAGCACCAAACAGCAGACAGCCCAAGTTGGCTACTAGCTGATGAACATAGTGGGGCATTTGGCAGCTAAGGTGCTAGATACACTATATTGCCAAAAGTATTCACTCACCCATCCAAATCATTGAATTCAGGTGTTCCAATCACTTCCATGGTTACAGGTGTATATAATCAAGCACCTAGGCATGCAGACCTGGAAGACCATTTCTACAAATGTTTGTGAAAGAATGGGTTGCTCTCAGGAGCTCAGTGAACTCCAGCGTGGTAACGTGATAGGATGCCACCTGTGCAATAAGTCCAGTCATGTAATTTCCTCGCTACTAAATATTCCACAGTCAACTG